CATGCACACACACACCCCACCCCGGGCCAGGCCGAGGCAGCAAGCTGTGTGCTATGTGTAAGGCACAGCAATTCTTGTGCCTGGAGCCCCACACTGCACCTTGTTTGAAACCTGGCACCACCACTGCTTTGTGACCTTGGTCCAGCCCTTCCCCCTCTGGGCCTCAGTCGCCCCATCTGCAAAGAGGGCAGTTGGGAGCAGCATCAGGACTCAGAGTGATGTCTGACCAGAGAGCAAAGGGCCGCCTGCCTCCTGATGGTGCTCCTCTGTGGGTATAGGTGTTCACCATCATTTGCAAGTGACACAGCTGGATTCAAGCTCAAAGCCGAGGCTCTTGGTGGAGAGAGTTAAGGTGGAGCAGAGAGAGTGCTGATGACAGTGACTAACCATCCTTTGTAATTATTGAGCACGAATTATCTGCTAGGCACTGTGCTAACATTTTGCACACTTTATCTCATCAGCCTCCCACCAACCCACCCAGTAGGGGCCATCATTCACATTCACAAGGATGAGGAGACATTATGCTCCAGGGCCCCACAGTTGTGGTGGAGCAGGGACTGGAACCCAAGTTCGGCTAGGCTCTACACCCATAGCATACAGGGTCCTGCCCCCACTCCCAGATGAGAAGCTGGTCCTCAAGCTGCTCCCCCAACTCAGCTGCCCCCCCCAACTCAGCTGCTCCTCAAGCCCCCGCAGGGTCAGGTTCTCCTGAGGAAGAAGAAGACAGGGAGAGGAGCCGCCAGTCCTAGGTTAAAATCTGAGGTGAAGCCCACCTGCTTGGCACCAAGAATTGTTTTTGAACAAGGTTTTTAAATATTAGATGGTATTTATGTCAACTCAAATCATTGAGGGATTGCAAATGGATTTGAAGCTGCTCCTTCATTTCCTATCAATATATGAGAGAGAAATTTTTAAGAAGAAAACCTAAAGGAATCCTGCACATAATCCTGTCCTAAAAAGGATTTAATCTGGCAGTGTGTGTGGGATTGGGATTGTTTTAATGATCAGGTTTGGGTAAATGGAAGCAGACCTGGATTTATCCATTGCATTATTTATTTGTAGGTGACTCTGTCAGAGAAGCTTCGGTTTGTATCTTGATAGGGTTGTGATCCATCTGGGGCTCAGGCCCTGCTCAGAACTTGTTGCTGGGGTCTCAAAAGACTTCTGGCTGCTGGAATTGCTCCAGGGCTCTCCTGAAGGTGCCACTTCTCTGGGGAAGCTTCTGCGTCTGAGGGTGGCTCCCTCCTCTTTCCAGTCTTCTGGGAGCCACTTGGGTGTTCCAATGCTGCCTCTAATCCATGCGTGTGGCAAGCATAAAACCTTCCAGTTCCCTAAGGACTCTTCCAGTATAAAGGCAGACACACACACATTGTGTACATGTGTTGAAATAGAACTCTGTACCCCATAAATATGCATAATCAATGTTTCAATACCTTTTTTAATTTAAAAAATAAAAAATAAGTAAAATTACAAATTTTTAAAAAGGAAAGGCAGACACAGGGAGTTTGCAAGTTTCAAGGTGGATGTTATGCGGGGGTAGGGCTCCTGTTTCTGGTTGAGCAGTCTCATTGCCTCTTCCACGGGCAAATCGTATAGCTCCTCCCCAGCCACCCCCTTTACCTCCTCCTTTCCCTTCCTTTCTCAAGAGCCCTCCTTTGTCCTCAGTTGAGGAGGCAGCTGCTTCTCAGGAAGGCCCATGCTAGCATCCCTGACATTGTGATTGAGCAGAGTTCAGAAAACTCCCCAAGGTTGGACTCTTTTTTCTTTTTCATTTTGGGCCTTGACTTTGAGGCTGGAAAAGCCCCAGCCCTGAACTTGAACACTTGGAGGACGTAGCTAATGGTGGTGGCCACACACGCCTCACCTAATGGTGTGCCTCGGCAGAGCAGGAACTGAGCCAGGTGTGAGGGCCCAAGAGCGTGTGCCAGGTTCTAGCCAAACCTCTTTTTCTTTTCTTTTATCTTTTTGGCTTGAAACGACATAAATTTATTATCTTACAATTCTGTAGGTCAGAAGTCTGATGCAGGTCTCAATATTCTAAAATTAAGGTGTTGGAAAGACTCTGTTCCTTTCTGGAGGCTCTCGGGGAGAGTGTTCATCACCTTCTCCACCTTCTAGAGGCTGCCTGTGCTCCTGGGCTGGCGAACCCCTTCCAGCGTCAAAGCCACTAATGCCTGTGGCGTCACTCTGACTCTGTTTCCGTCACCACATTTCCTTCTCTGAGTCCTCACCAGCCCTCTTAGAACCAGGAAATCATATTGGATTTTCCAGAAGTGCCCCAGTGGGGAGGAGACCCATGGGGCCCTTCTGCTCATGCTACAGCTGCTCCCTTCTGGTATGTTTTACAGAGGACAACTGTATTCTTAGAAAGTGTTCCCCTGCTTAGAACAACCACAGAATGACCAAAACAACAGTGCCTTGGAGTCATGGAATCTGTGAGGTGGTTAGAACACCTGCCTGGGGTCAGACAGCCCTGGATGGCTCAGATCTGGCTGTTCTGACCTGTGCATGGCTTTAAGCAAGTGGCTTCACCTCCCACCACTCCCTAGCACTGCTCCTTGGCCAGAGCAGAGCCTTCCTTACCCCCAGCAGCACCCTGCCCTTCACACCCCCATCCTCCCATCCAAGCCCTGTATGTGGTAGGATTATGACTCCTTCTTTGGGGGACAGTGTGTGCAGTGGTTCAGAGGTCACACCTTCAGGGAGACCCTGGCTTCAACGCTTACTGTGAGGCTTTGGACAAGTTATTTGACCTCCTTGTGCCTCAGTTTCCTCATCTGTAAAACAGGGATAATGGTCGTACCAATTTACATACAGCTATTTTGAGAATTAAATGAATTAATAATGTATAAGATGCTTAGAACAGTGCCTGGCCCATTAAAAGTTCTCAGTAAGTTTTACCTTTTATTATTATTACTATTATAATTATCACCTTACCAGGTCGCTTCTAAAGCTCCTAGGCACACAATTATAGTAGCCATTAATGTGACAGTAACTCAACTGCAGAAAGGAGGTTTCCTAGACCCCAACACTGCCGCAGAGATTAAGTGAAACAGTTAAAGTGTCTGCCTAGGAGTACAGCTCTCACACAGTCCCTGCGGTAATCCCCACCCCACCTCAAGTCCTATTAAGGGCCCAGGCAGCCATATCACATCAGATCTAGGGCCTTGGCATCCACACGGCACTGTCTAGAGAATATCCTGGGAGATGCTGGTGTCAACACGTAGACTGTTAGAAGCTGACGGGATGAAGTGGGCTTTAGTGGTGGCTGTCGGGTGTGGGCAGTTCTCTACTTTTGTTGTTTCTGATTGAGCCAAATCTGCCCTCTCACAGCACCCCTCCCCCAGGCCCTCCAGTCCGGTCTGCAGCCTCAGGCGTGGAGCCTGGCAACCCTGACTGGGGAATCGTGTTTGTCCAGAGCGCACAGGGCAGGGCAGCGCTGGGAACTGGTGATTCCTGGGACGTGTGGCACACGCAGAGAACCCGCCGTTTGAGAGAGGTGGAAAATCTGGAGTGCGCCAGCCAACTTTCTGCCTTGGTGGGGCACCACATGAAGGACTTGGTCTCCAGGTGCTGGGGCGCTCCCCGGAGCCTCCAGCACGTCCTTGAGTCTTACAGGGAGGGCTGTGGCTGTAGGTGTAGGAATTTGGGATGGGTGCATTCTGTCCCCAGGGTCTCCTAGACAAGCTCAGTCTTCTCTGTTGAATAAATCATTTGGCTTTCCTGCAATTTTCCCCTAAAGTCATGTGCAAGGGGAAAAGTAATCACAATTAGTTCAATGTTCCAGTTAGTAGGATCTGGTTCACTGGGATTTTGACCTTTTGGCAGCTGGCTGTTACAGGGATCCAAATCCTTGACCTTGGTGTTGTAATATCTTGCTCTAACCAGCTGAGCTAACTGGCCAACCCTTTGGCCTTTATCCTGTTTCCTGTCTGGCTATAGAGAAAGAGAAGTCCCTCACACCCTGTTAAGTGGGTGAAAGCCCCCCTTGTTTCTGACCACATGGCAAGAGACATGTAGTGATCCCTGCCTCTAGGAGGTGACAGTGTGAACCCAGGACGGAATGTGAAATTCTCACCAATGTGTGTCAAAGAACATGAGGGAGGTTGGTTGAGAAAGTGTGAATGGCTCCTCCCACGCTCTCACTAGTGTAGACAGGGCACAGAGCAGGACCCAGTAACTGGAGGAAGGGGAAGGTCTTTGGTGTCGTCTCCCTACAGGGAAGAGACCATGTTTGTTGAGCACTTCTGTGTGTTGGCCACACTTACTACTCACAACAGTCCTATAAATTTGGCACTATTATCACTCCCATTGTACAGATGGGAAAGCTGAAGACCAGAGAGGTTGAGCAGCATGGCCAGTGAGTGGCAGAGGGGGGATTTCTACTAGGTCACACTGGCCTGACCATCCCACTCTTTCTGCTTTGCCCTCAAGGGTGCATCAAAAAAGCCATGCACACACCATGGGTGGTTTGGGTGCTAGAGAAATCTTGAGTAAGAGGAGCCCAGAAGATGGTATGTGGGCCACAGGGGACAGCAGGTGGCCTCATCTGCTCTGTTTGTTCCAGATTAGAAGTTCAAATACTTGAGAGAAAAACTGGCTTGTTTTCCTCTCTCTCTCAGAGATAAGCTTTGGCTGGGGCCTTGGCCAAGCTCTCAGGGCCCTAAAAGGAGGGACAAGTTGCTGTGGGAGAGGATGTTCAGGATGTTTGGGGGTGGGGAGTGGATCAGGACAGAGATGGCTGCTGGGGGCTGAAAGCCCCAGGAACGCTGGTGGAGACCCCAGGAGACTGCCCCTGAGGTGCCCCCCACAATTCCGCCTCAGTCGGCCCTGCGAGCTCACACCCCATCCGTGGGCTCTTACTGTGTCAGGGGCTCAGCTGGGTCAACTGGGGTGAACTCAGGCCTGGCCTTCCTCACTGGGAACTGTGGGCAGATTAAATTCGGCTGGCTGGGAGCCTTTGACCCCAGCTCATGGTCTCCCTCACTTATGTCCTCCAGATGGGATCTATTATGGCGACAATCGGTTTAACACGGTGAGTGAGTCGGGAACAGCCACGCTGAAAGCTCGGCCAAGAGTCCGGCCCCTGCTGACCTTCCTTCCACTGGTGAGTGTGGCTCTGCTCTGGGGTCTGAGGGTCTGCTGTGGGTGGGGACACCTTGCCTGCCGCAGAGGAAGCAGCCCCACCCTGCCCTGGCCCAACTGGACGTCAGTCTCACCCTCTATCCATTCACTTCCTTCCTGATGCCAACCCAGGGTGGCCACTGGGAGGAGGCATGGCTGAGGCTCATGGCAGGAAGGCTGGCATTAGGGATGTCAGCTCCTCCAGGGACAAAACCCAAGGGAGGTTATGGAGAGCTTGTGTATAGAGGGCACACAGCAGTGGGTAACTCTAGCTAAGCAGGGCTCATTTTCCACAAGCACCGATGGCTGTCTGCTTCATGCCAGGCCCTGCATTAGGTGCTGGAGTGCACAGATGGCTGAGACAGCATTGCTGCTCTCAAGGAGCTCCCTGCCCACTGCAGGAGATGAATGAGTAACACAGGCCAGAGTAGGAGCAGCCAACACAGCCGTGAGGGGTGGACAAGAAGGGCTCCCTGGAAGAGGTGACACCTGAGCTGCCTAGTAGGACAAATAGCAGTGACCCTTGGGAGAAGAGCATTTGGGACAGATTTATTTGTGGGTCTGAAACTACAGGAAACCAGGGCTCCCTGGAAGAGGTGACACCTGAGCTGCCTAGTAGGACAAATAGCAGGGACCCTTGGGAGAAGAGCATTTGGGACAGATTTATTTGTGGGTCTGAAACTACAGGAAACCAAAATCTTCCTACTGGAGGCTGTGGCTGGGCTTTTTGTTCTTTGACAAAGGAGAGAGACCCAAAACAACTACTCCATGACTGGTTCTATTTACTGTGATGAGAGTTCCTGGCTTTTCTGGGACATTCTAGACACGTGCTGTCTAACAGAAATATAATGCAAGCCTCATATGTAATTTTAAATTTTCTAGTAGCTATGTTAAAAGTAAAAAGAAATAGGTAAAATTAATTTTAGTAATATATTTTACTTAACCCAACATATTCAAAAGATTACCATTTCAACATTTAATAAATATAAAAAATACTAAGGAGATATTTTACTTTTTTTTATACTAAGTTTTCAAAATCTGGTATACTATACATATGAGGCTTCCTCAGAAATTTCATGGAAACACGCATATTGTCTTTTAATCCTATTTTCCTGTGAACTTTTTGAAGTACTCTCATAGAGCACATCCCACTGCTGTCCAGGGACATTTCGAAGTGCACTTGTGGCCAGTGGCTACTGTATTGGACAGGCTAGGTCTAGTGTCTAAACAGTCAGCCCCCTAGATTCCAGTTCACTCCTGCCTGTCAGACCTGGGTCCTGGTTGGTACAGTACTGCCACTGGGGTCATAGCATCCTTATACTTCCATGAAGGTTTGTACGGACCTGCTCTGAGCTCTCAGCTCTCAGGGCCGTTAGACTTCATGGCACCCCACACCTTGGTCCCAGGTACCCACACATCCTGCCCAGCACTGCCCAACACAACCACCTCCCTCTCTCCCTCACCAGTTTTTTCCGGTTTGTCCAACCTCACCAACCAGACCCCAAGATTCTAGATTGGACAGACTGAGTCAACATTTTTCCTTCTGTGTCCCCAAGGCCTCTATGTGGAGGGCTGAGCACACAGATCTCTGGGAACTCAACTTTAAATAACCTATTTTCTCCTTATAAAAGCAATTCATGGACATTATAGACAAATATAGAAAGTACAAAACCAAAAACAAAAAGGTATGAAGCAAATAAGTCAGCCCCTGACTTTGTTTCCAGAAATGCACAGCTTTGTTATGGGGGTCATTGCACCCATAAATGCAGGTAAAATCATTTTGAGATGTTCTATTTCTGGAGGTAAATTTGATCCTCTCCCCTCAACTGTACAGTACACACATACTCAGAATCACGGTGGTGTAGGCCCAGCACTGACACCTGTACCTGCACTGGCTGTTAAAATATTGAAATACTCTCAACAGAGTAGAAAAGGCTGTTGCCCCTTGAGTGGCTCCTGCTGTCCTGATCCCCTCCCCCAGATCTGCACCACCCCAAGAACCAGCAACTGATTAATGCAGGCACAACATTAATCAGAGTTTGCTCTGATTGGCCAGTATCCTGCATCTTCCTCCACCCACCCTCTTTGGGCCCCTCCAAGCCCATGGCAAGTCCTAGCCTTTCTGCTTTCCTTCCCTCTGGTTTGGATCTGGTCTCAGCAGAACATGACTCTGGAGCTGCAGAGACCCCAGGCGGGCCTGGCAGAAGACTCAGGGCCACTGCCGTGGGCTTGGCTAGCTGTCAGGCCTGGAGTTCTGCCCTCCAGGGGAAATGCTTCCTGGGAGCAGCCCTTCTGGGTGAGCCTCAGAGCCAGTCCCAGGAGATGGGGGCTTCTCCCCAACAAACTCATGCCCCCTCCCTGGTGAGGATGAGAGAATGAACACGTGGTGAATTGATACCTGAAAGGGGTGTCATCAGGTCCACACCAGCCTCTTTTTATAGAGGCAGCGACTGAAGCCAGAAAGAGAAAGTCCCCTCCATTCCTTCAGTGCTGGCTGAACGAGGAAGGACAGGTGGAGCTGCTCACCAGTTCCATCCAGTGGCACGTCCATGTGATCATGGCTCACACGTTCTGAGCACTGACTATGTGCCAGGCACCACTCCAAACACATCATATGTATTCATGGAGCCACACTATGAGCCAGGTGCTTTCATTAATCCCCATTTTACAGATGGAGAAATAGAAGCACAGAGAGGGAAGTAACATGCTTAAGGTCATGCAGCTCGCAAGTGGCAGAGCCGTGATTCAAGTCCTTTAGCCAGGCTCCAGGGTCCAAGTTCTATTCAGGCTGTCCTCTTCTTCCCTCCACCCGCTACCTAGAAACTTTTTTCTTTCCCTCCTGGGACCAGCCGGCAGAACCACTTCCACCTCTCTTGTCTGTCTTGCTGAATCCCTGTCGAGCAGCGGGTCCTGCAAGCACCAGGCCTCTTGACTTTTTTGGGTCATAGACCCCTTTGAGACCATGATGAGATATGGGCCACTTACACATAGTTTTCCTTACGACTTCAGCAGAGTCCTCCAAGAGTCCACCCATGATTTACCTTTAGAGGAGGAACTGGCCTATACCCCAGGGACAGTGCTATGCTTCTGATTCAGGTTATAGGTATAGAGTAGCTCCATATGGTTCAGTACCGGCTGCTGTCAATTCATCATCTGACTCCTCACCCTCGGCTCTGGGCCAAGTCCTTTGCTTTCTTCCAGCAGGGGCAGGAGACCCGGGAAATGGGGAGAAGGAGGACAGGGCTCCATGTGAGTGCAGGCTCACACACCCTGTCCCCCAGCCCTGCCAAGTCAGGGTGAGTGGGGAGCTGGGCCAGTGCCTGAGCCCTGCCTGACACTGTCCTAGCTGGCCGGGCCTCTGCCCCTCCCTGTCCTCCCTTCCCACATTCAGAGGGCACCTCCTAGACCAGGCTACCCTGGGGCAGGGGAGGCAGGGGGCGGCAGCGCCTGAGGAGCCAGGTGACAGTCCCAGCAAGGGCCTCTGAGCTCTGTCTGGCCATCTTCCAAATGTCCCCTGTCAGTACCCTACATGAGCCTGCCAGGGGACAGAGCTCGAGAAGAGGGGGCAAGATGAGGCAGGGGAGAGCTCCCTTCTCTGGAGCTTCTTCACTTTAGGTTGAAGGTGCTGAGGACTGAGTAATGCTTTCTCGGGCATCTAGCCCCCAAAAGCCAGTTATGCAAAGGAACTTGGGATCCCCCAGTGACTGGGATGGGACCTGGGGTAGATCCTCGGATGGCTGGCACTAGTCCCAGCTCTTCCACTGGGATGCAGGGTGGTTGAGGACCAGGCCCTCCCTCTCCCTGGGCCTCTGGCTCCTCACCCATCAGTGGGGGTTACAATGGATTGTCCCCAAGGGTTTCCCCAGCTGTGACTTTCTGTATTAAAATGACTCCCTAGTGGAAGGGCAGATGTGGTCAGTTCTCTGGAGGTCCCCCAGAGAAGCCAGGCCCTGATGACACACAGATCACTCCTCGAGCTCTGCTTCCACCTCTGAAGAAGGTGGTGTTCCAGCCACCAGAGCCACCTCACCTTCCTGCTCGGGGAGCTCTGAGGAGCTGGATCAGAACCACCAAACTTCAGAGCTGTGGAGGGCCACATAAGTCATCAGCTTGAGAAAACTGAGGCCCAGGGAGGGGAGGGCCCTGCCCAGGCCACGCAGCTCAACAGAAGCAGAGCTGGGAGGCAGGCCTCCTGTCCACACCTCCATAGGCCTGGGCTGTGGGTGGAACAATCTTTTTTCCTACTTCTGAGGAGAGCTCGAGCCAGAGCCTGTCCCTTGGCTTCTGAGAGCCCAGAACTGGTAGGTGGTAGGAAGGATGTACTTCTCCCCGGGGCTCCCTCTTGCCCTCCCCTGTCTGAACCAAACCATCCCCAGGGTAATGCATGTGAAGAATTAAAAATTAAATGCCAATGTGGCAAATATGGGGAAACTGGCCCAACAGGTCCCCAGGGGTGCCCTGGGCGGCGAGAGCTCCCTGGGTCACCCCACCCTCTGAGTCAGACAGGCCGGCCTCTGCAGGGGAGGCATCTCTGGGCTCAGGCAGAAAGCCCCACCCTGGACCCTCCCTCTTTTCCTCTGCCTTTGGGAGCTCAAAGAAACAGCTGGAGTCAGCCCGTTTTCTCCTTTCCACCCCACCCACCTGCCACAGGAGCTCATCTCTAAACTCAAGGCCCAGGCTCCTGTTAGGGTTGGGATTTGCACTCATGAGGGTGAGCCAGGCAGGCAGTCATTACAGGATTTGACTGATTCCTGTGGGTGATGTCTGGTGGAAGGGTTGTGGGTGGGGGAGGTCCATGTTTGTGTGGGGGAGGGGTGTTGGAGGCCTGCAGCAAAGGTACAAATGGAGCTCCCACCCCTAACTAGCCCTCTCCCTCTCTACCACCTGGATCTTGCCTCGATCTGACCCTCTAAAGCTCCATTCACACCCCTGCCCTTACCCACAAGCAGCTGCCCCTTGCCCACCCCATGGACTCATGCTCAG